GTTTGAAATTAGTAGATATTATACATTATTCGATAAATTAAATATTTTACAATTTCGTAGTATTTATATAGGTATTGGTGTAACGTATAAAGTTCAATGAATCATTCTCGGAAAATTCCAGTTGTTAACTGAAAATAAAAAGTAGCGACCTTTTACAAAATTAATTGCTTGACAATGACCAAAATAATAAGTGTCACTTGGAGCGTATTGTTATTAGCGAATCCTTACTCAACTCAACTTGAATAGTTTTTGTGAAAATGTTAGTTGTTTCTTTCATTACTATAAATTAAAAATTATATAAGTGGTGTATTTCATTATTTTCAACGATTGTATATTATTTTAAAAAACCCATATTAAAAATAATTTAAAAATATTTACTATATTTTTTATATTATTCTAAACATACATGTTTATTAGGAAATTAACAATTTATTTGGATGTAAGAGACAAAATCAAATGATTGCTTAAATATTTAAGTATGCTTAAAAATTCTCAATATTTTTAAATATAAACAAAAATCAAAAAAAAAAATCATGTTGACGTTTTAAAAAAAATTGTTAAATATAATGTAGTGTTAAACATTAAATATTCAAATATAGATTCTTATTGTTTTAAATTATATCACTTGATGTTAAATGATTAAAAAAATTTTAAATAACATACCTGGGAAAAAATTAAAATACGTAACAGTTTGTTATAAATAAGTGTATTGCAAAAGTATTGTACAGTATGTCAAAAAATGCAATTAATAAATATTAAGTAAATAAAGTAAGTAGTTATACAAATAATAAAACTGTAAAACAACAACAAAATAGTATTTAGTATTAAACAAAATGTTTAAGCTTCATAGCTGAAAAACCATCACAAATAATTAGAAAAGAAGTATCTAAACATACTAATGAAAGAAATTTTATTTCACCCGATTTAGAACTAATAGCAAGAAATATTCACAACATCCGGGTCCATTTTTATTCCAAACAGTCAATATTAAGAAAATATGTTTATGACTTATAAAGTTTATTATAAATAAGCAAATAGAAGGGAATTTTTTTTTTCCATGACAATGATGTCCTTAATGTAATTATTATTATTTTTAATGTAGAATGAACAAATATTTTTTAAAGAAACTATATTTTGTATACATAGATGGTACTTTTAACTATTGCAAAATTATACATATGATTTATGATATTAAAAGTAGAATAAATATTACAGTATTGAAAAAAACCAAAATAGCTGAAGTTATACACATTATTTTTAGATTTTGAAATTGCAATTTATCAAGTGGTTTTTGAATTTTAAATTTTTTCGGAAATAAAAGTTTTTGGTTGTTGATTTCATTTTAGCATAATTTAGTTTCAAAAAGTTCAAAATATAAGTTATCACTACAATTTAATTCACCGAATGATGATGTAGGAATATAATTGATGCAATTTTTAACTTTCTGTTCTCAATCTGGAAGAAGTAGAATAATGTGTTATAGATTGTAGTAGATAAACTTCAATATTCAGCGATAAGATGATTTGATAGTTATTTAATAGATAAACATATATTAAATGATATTATTTTACCATTAGAAAAACGAAGCAACAATCTTTTAACAGAATACATACGAAAAAATCAAGAAACAATTTTCATTTGGATTTTGATTCAAATTATTATCACCTACATGCGTATCATTTTTTAATTTGATAAAAATCACAAATAGTAACATAAAAACAAATATCATTAAAAAATATGTCTAAAAAGAAAATTTTCTAAATGATAAAATGTAATTTATTCAACTAACAAAATTAATCAATACGGTTATTTATAATTTATGATTTTAATACTAGTCAGTTAATAATGATATGATATTAAAATAAACATATACAAAAATAAAAAGTTTTTGACTACGATAATTAATCACTTAATAATTTATTGAAGTATTATTCTGATATAAGAAAAAGCGTACAATAATATAATGAGTGTTATAGTAAAAAAAAAAAAAAAACAATTATTTTTGAAATTTTTAATGCGATTATTTTTTTTTTTTTTTTTAACCTTTTGAATAATATTATCATAAAATTTAATTTTATAAAGATATAAAAAAAAAAATGGTTAAATTAATTTAAACATGAATACAAAATATAATTATACTTAAGTTTTTTGTGAAAGTTATTTAAAATTATTATTGTTATTTAATTATTATAATGGAGAAATAAATTCATAACCTAGAAATATTTATTTATTTAATTAATATTTAAATAGATGCCTATAAAAATTAAGATTTTAAAACTGAATATAATATTTTATTAATTAAATATATATTTGAACCATAGATTTTATGCCTATAAATTACGGTAAAATAATTTATATCCAAATTAAAAATATAGGCTCCTACTTTAGGTAGATTTTACAAAGAAGAAAGTTTTTATAAAAATTGTTTTATATTGTAGCAGACGTTTAGCAAATCTAATATAATTATTACAATATTTTATTATCAGCAACTTGTTTTATATTAATAAATATGTTTATTACATATAATTTAATATAACATATTATTACTATTATTATATCATATAAGTATACTGTTTTATTTTGTTTGACATATTTTTTTATGGATAAAATATTTACATTTTATTTTTTTGATAAAAATTGGCAGTCTAATTCAAACTATGAATAAAATTATTCCGATAGTAATCAAGATGAAAATTCTACTATGTTTTTATTTTTTTTTGTTAATTCAGCTCAAATGTAATAATTTCTCAAATGAATTACATTAATCATTTAATTTAAAGATTGTCTTTATCACATTATATTGTGTTTTTATCTCTAACATTGGTTATAAATTATTAGTAGTAGTTTGGAATTATATTTAAAATATAAAATATAACTTTGTAGGTTAATTGAGTTCAGTTATGATAACATGCTTATTTTTATTTATTTACTATTTAATGTATATTTTTTGTGACAAAAACCAGTTGAAAACTGATAAATCTTAATTAGAGATTTTAATATTTAAGTGATACTACTGTGCTATCATGTATTATTTTTCTATTAGTATTATGATTTATACACTAGAAAAGTATTAATTTCTAAGTAATTTTCAGACCAAACCCTTCTGTTACAATTCAATTATTCAAATATCTATATCAAACTTTCTATTGTATACTACCTAATATAAAATTCAATATAATTTACATCTTCATTGCTTAACCTAAAAAATATACTGTTAGGTATCTCCATATCTGCTATATATGCATATATGTATATAATAAATATAAAGAAAACCATTAAAAACTTGTAAAAATATACTATAAATACAAAATACAATTCTTAAACAATTATATTTAAATTTTCAATAACACAAATACAAATACAATAATAAGTATTTATAAATAATATAATTTATATTACGGGTAATGTCAACTTTAGCCATGTATTTCGATTAGTGATTCAAAGTTACATAATTTTAATATTATCTAACTAATATTAAAAATGTATCGTAAGTAATATTAATTTATATGATTGTATACATTTATGTTACTTTTTGTGTACTATATAATATTATTCACCCTTTAAAATTACGTTTATACGAATTTATAATTACTATATTATAATAAATCATTAACTAATCCATAAGTGCATAAAACATTAGAGATGGTGTAAGTGTGACTATGTAGTTAACTAATGTCGACGAAAGCTGAGTGAACCCAATAAATATAACATTAATTATTTTTTTACCAAATTTAGATGAAAAATTCTTTAGACTTGTAGATTAATGTGGTATTTAACCGGTAATTATATACCAGATACCAGTGATACCAGTTGATGTTTGCCTATTATCTTTAATATATTTTTGGATAAAATGTAAATTTTGAGGTAAATGATTTGGAATAAAGTATTAAACAATTAAAGGAAATAACGAGTCAGATATCAAACGGTATAGCATTCAAAGTTACAAAAGTATTCTTAAAAATGAAAATATAATATCAAAAGATTAAAATGTAAATTTTCAAACCTATTATGCAATTTAATATAGTATATAAATTTTATAAAAATATGTGTAAAAACTAAAAATAAATAATTTTTTTTCTTTTTATTTCTATAAATAAATTAATTAGATACCTAACTTATAGTATCTTTTGTATTATATTGGTGAATATTAAGTTTAATAAATTTATTGTTATACAATTAATTTAATATTAAAAATTAATTTGGTATAATATATTTATTAACTATTAAACATGGTATAATGTGGCAAGATCACAATCAATAACGTATATAGTTTGTATTGCTTTGGATGATTTATTCCTATATCACTAATTCATAACTTAGTCTTATATTTTAGGATATTATCCTGCAAAAATACTTGGCTAATTGTAAATTATACAGTTATTGTTAATATTATTCATTAGCCATAATTGTAATATTATTGATTCATAATAGTTAGAGTAAATAATAACTTTTTAAATGCATGTGATATTTTGTCACTTTCAGGATGGATCATGATTCGAGTACAGGGCGGTGCCCAATCTTTAACCTCCAACGATATTAACTATAATAACGATAATACAATTATCAATGGTATTTTTGTGAGGGCGGGGTTTATCTACACGCCGTTCGATATGAAACAATTAATTTCGCTGAAATAATAATCATTATTATAATAGACTTTTTTCTACTATAACCTAACCGCCGTCTTTGTCGGTTGGACAATGTGTGTGGCGCGTGTGTGATGTAATAATAAAACGGTAATAATAATTGGCCGAGTGTGAATTTCCTGCCACGGACACGAGACGACTACGCGGTAGACAGATGTATTACGTGTAGAGTTGTAATAGCGTTTTGGCCTCTGTCCCGCCAAATCTCTTTATTTTCGTACAGTTGTGGCGGTGGCAGAGAGATGAGACGGGAAATAATAATAACGCCTCTAACAGTAATATGTGATAAAAATAAAAAATAATAAAATATAATATATCTATGCTATTATTTAAAAATTAACATAATTTTTTTACCTTTGGTTTTCGCATGGTTCCTCCTCCACCGCCACCACCTCCGCCACTACCGTTACCGCCGGTTACCAACTACTTTGATCACAATCACGACCACTGATACTACTATAGTTCCAATTTGCTTTCGACTCCAGTGAAATCTATTTAAGGATATCCGAACCGGCCCCTCGGGGGCACACGCCGCCGGTGGTCGTCCGCGACGGATCGCCAGGGGGCACGTAAAATATGAAAAGTACGAGTTTAACTCAATATGACTACTACGCGTCTACGGACTAAACAAATAAAAGTTCACAAAAATTAGGTATCAACACAGACCATAAACGAAAAGAATACAAATCTAAAGTTCTCGCGCCAAAGTCGCACACGCGTCCGGCGGCGGTCGTTACGGCACTGCGCTCTTCTTCCTGTAGGACCTGCGCTCCGCACGGTCTGTGCGCGCCGGCTCCGTAAGCGAACTCACACACAACGCGTGTATCCGTGGTAACCGCGGTAGCGGTAGGTTTATAGCGGTTGTATGCAACGGTTCATATTATCTAGCGTTTCGCATTTTTTATGTACATACACACACAAATTATGTAGGTATACATACGAGTTAGAGAAGAAAAATATGTATTATAATATATATATATATGATAAATTACATAAAAATAAATGCACGCACGTTCGACCGACCGATGATGCAGGTGGTGGTATTTTTTTACGCGTACGCAAAGTCGCAAAAATTTTATTATTTTACTTTTTTACAAAAGTATTTAATTATTATCAAACGACTTTTATAGTTTTATACCATTTAAATAGCATGACCTCGTATAATGAAAGCGAGTTTTATTCGTTTATTATTATTATATTTAAATTTTAAGATCTCTTTTCAATAAAATATTCCGTGTTCAATCAAAATGTATTCCGTAAATATTTTGCGATAAATTATATGTTACAATGTTACACGAGTATATATCCACTGCGGTCTATACACTACACATAGTATATACTTGTACATTTCGTATTGAAATGTGACTACAGCTATAGTTCCATAAGTTTTTAATAACTAATAGAATAAACCATCTATACGAAAGTCTCTTAATAAAACATAAAACCTAATCTCTATGAATGCCTATAGACAGTTGGGTAAGTATTACATCAGTTGTATTAGATTATGCTCGTATATGTATTTTCACATTAGCTAATAACAATACTAAACTTATGATTATATTTTTTATATAACGATACTTTGATACGCGTTCTATTGTTTGTTCCTATGGCTTCATTATTGTATCAGAAAAATGAACCATGTATTGACTATAGGCTAATGCAAAAAAATATTTATTATTACATTTGGTACACAATCAACTTGAAAATTATTATCAACATAAAGCTGCTAATATGTCTTGACCAAATAATAAGTTTAAGTCAATTGTTAAAAATTTCAGTATTATGAGAATACAATTTTCAAATTTATAGTTATTCATATTTATATTTTTAATTCATGTAATACATTAACTAATAATAGAACTCACAAGTCAGTAACTAAAAGGGGGACTGGAGTTCAAAACCCTCCCCCAGCCGCGGAATTTTCTGGAATTACACAAACTTAGGAATTTAACTACCGTTTTTTTTTTTTTTATTATTATACTATTAACGATATATAGCATTTTAGTTCAAACAATTGCAATATAAGGCGAAGTACTTGAAGCATATTCTAATTGTAGCCAAAACTTTTTTCCGAACATTTCATTTTTATTATAAGTTTTGATTACTTTACTGGTGTCAACCGCAACGCTAAAAATGACATTTTTTTCTCTAAAAAAATCTATTTGCGAAATGCTACCGCTGAAGAAAGATTAACTGGTTTATCATTACTTTATGTACATAAAAATTATTGTGAACTAACATATAAATATTTATGTCAATCCTGAGAAAGTAATCAATTGTTTTTCTGAAGAAAAAATAAAAATTTAGAATTTGAGTTGTAAAATTGAATTTTATTTTATATTATGTATTAAGCATATTTAGATAATTATTGATAAACCTTATTGATTTATATTTAATGTTTAATTGCTTTAAAGCATTTATAAATTGTTCGTCATTTATTTTATACACTACTTATTAAGACTTGTAAAAATCCCCTCAACAAAATTTTTTTCTGGGTACGGCTTTGAATATCTTTATCGTATATAATTTAAAACGATTTAAACATTTTATTTATTGTCTAATAAAATTATTGTATCAGCAATTTGATCATATTAAATGGTACCCATTGCAGTTTTCAGTATTATGTTTTTAGAATATCAATATATAGCGTACAACCATCTAGAAACACTCCTTGTGGTCGTTTTCAAGTGCCTAAAATGTAAATACCTGCTAATTTTATATACAAAGTTTAATGATAATATTATAAAACTTTAACTATATATTATTTTATTTTCATAATTTGATACTCTAATGCATAAACATCGTAGTTCATCAATCTTTAACAAAATCCACAGTCACGCTAGTTTCAGGTATGATGACATATTTAATCTGTGATTAACAATAATTTGTTTAACAATACAATAGCTGTAATAAACATACGTTGTATACCACAACATCAGTTGAATGTTGAAGCAAAAAATGTATTTAGGCTCAAAAACTTTATGGGAATTCTCGTAATATCAATCGTTGTGTGGTAGGTGATGGCACTTATAAGTTATAACTGTTATTCCATTTTTTATTCTTTACACTACAACAGTAAAAATTAAATTATTTAAAGCTTTTACCTATTTATAGATACATTAAATAGATTTCATTTTATTTCTTGCATTACGCATATTGTCAGGGCCAATGTGAAGTTAAGGTGACTCAGGTGATCGACCAGGGCATCATTCTCAGCGAGGGGGGGGGGGGGGGGCAAGATTGATTTTTAAAATTTTACATATTTTTGTCAATAATATTTTTTTTTTTTTGAAAATATAAAACATTTATAACTTAATACTCAATTATTCATAATTATATATGGTTATTTTTATCAGCCATAGATTAAAATAATATGAGTATTTTTTAAGTTTATTTAGTATGGTTTTGCGTAGATTGTTTATCGTATATGTATGTTGCTCTATAAATTTAAATATTTCCGAATATTTGTGATCGTTTAATGAGGGTCGCGTCGCGCTGTCGTGACTTCATCCCCGTCACTTATTAGCTTATTCTTTGCAATTTGTATATACACTACTTAAATTACTTATTTTAATACCTATTATCATATTACCGATCGTACTTATCGGGTCTGAGATGATACTTTTATTATAATTATTCAGGAAACACCCTAGTTATAAATGGCATGTTAATGGAACTTAACGTACAATTTAAAAAATCCACTTGAAAATTAAAACAAATTATTGAAACATTGTATGAACACAATAACCTTAAAGATGGATCTGATTCTAATATTAATGGTGTCGAATTTTTCGATTCACTAAAATTCTGAACATTAAACAATAATTATTAATTTCTTGTTTGGACAAAATTTAACTTATAAATAATATTCTTCAATACGTTTTTCACCTTAAACTTTAAGACATATTTCTAAATTTTTGGATATCTTTGAGAATATTATTGATGTTGCCAATGAGAGTAGCTGAGTAGAGTTTCTCCAAATTGAAACTTATACAGATATACTTGCGATCTACTATAACTAATGAACATTTAGTCTTATTATTGATTTTATCATTAAAAAACTAAATAGCTGCAGAAATTAATTTTTCTACAGTTACAAAGAGTTTAGGTGAAAGAAAATCTAGAAATGTGTTGATCAATAACAAATTTAAATAGTTATTTTATTATAGTGTTAACTATGTTCTATTTTACACTTTATATCCATTTATCATTAATTTACAACAATTTCTGCATTATTTATTTTTATTATTAGAATATAATATGTATTTATATGTGTCTACTACTTATTACACTATATTTAGTCGTAACGTTATTTTTATTATTTTTTTTTTTTTTTTAATAGATGATATCAAATAATGTTCAAGTTGAGCATAATAAATAATTTTTCTATATTTCTGTCCATGAACAAACATTTTTTCTTAGTTTTATAGTAGCATGAGTTTTTGTATGAAAAAGGCGGCAGTTGACGTTTCGGCCTGGGGCGTAATTTAGCTTTGCGCCGGCTCTGCAGATTGTATTCAATTATTCTACACTGTTTGTAATTTTGTCTTTTTATTCATTCAACCAATTTAATTACTGACTATTTAAAATATAAATAAAAGGTTATCTTTGTATCTAATCGCTGCTATCTTAGTATTCTTAGGCAACCAAATTATTATTCTCAACAATTTGCATAAATTTAACAAAATATAATTGACAGTATTTCAGCATTTATCAAATATTTAAAAATATTATTATATTTTAAAAAAACCATCATTTTTTGAGTCACCAAGTTCTCTTAATTTTATAATTATATAGATACAGAGAAAAATTACATCATATTTTTTCAAAAATATTTGGTTTTTAACAAAGAATTATAAAAACGTGTTTTAATTTTAAAAAATTAAAAATTAAAAAGATAATGATAAAAAATATTAAAAAATTGTTTGTTTTTTTTTAGAGAAATATTGTTTTGTAACGAACATTTATTTATTTAAAAAAAATATTTTCAAAAATGTTAGTGTTTTACATTAATTATATTACTCGATATAGATTGTAATTATTTAACTTCTAAAAATAGGGTAAAAAAAGATTATTTTTAAATAGTGTCCAAAGACTTAGTTTTAAAAATCTTACTAATAATAATAAAAAACAATGTAATTTACACCTATTGTTTTATTGCTCTTTAAGTCTAAATTTATCCTCAAAGAAAAAAAAAATGTCCATCTATAAAGCTATTTTATTTTCCATTTGGTCATTCTAAATTCAAAACTGGGACCATTAAAAATCATCTGAAATTTACTCAAACATTTCAGGAGGTTTGTATACGACTAATTATTACCGAATGTCTCATGATATAGTGTTTGTCTAACTTAGTTTTACGCAATGAACACAATCCTTATACTAAAAAACTAATCCACCAATAATTTAATGGATCAAGATATGATAATTTTTAAGTTCTAATATATTAAAAACTCATAACTTGCATAAAAATTAATAAAATATTATAAAAGAACCAAGATACAAATTATTGTGAATTTAAATAAAATATAATTAATATTAATGTTCTATAATTTAAGCTTAAAATACACTGAAATATGAAATTTAAGAACACAAAATTAATTCTACTGAACACAAATAACCATATTGTGCTTTTTTCAAGGAAAAAAAAAATAAAACAATGCGATAATATCCTCTTAAATATCAATATTAGCAAGGGTAATATTCTTAAATATGATTCTGTTTAGCAACG